TTCATATATTTTGCTACAGTTGTAGTTTTCCCTGGACCTTCGTGTCCGTCGTACTTTTCTACGTCATATCTACCATGGCTTTGAATCTTTACTAATTTATATGGACCAAAGAATTTAGAACAATATCAATATGTTTATACCAGCTACAAGGATTTTCACGACATAGTTTAGAAAACATTGGTATTACGATTTTGTGAATACGTTCTACCTGGCCGTTTCCTCTTGGAACTCCTGTAGCTATCGTAAGATGCTGCTTCACAGTACTCCTTGAACAACTTTGAGACGAAAGCTGCATCCCTATCTGATATTATGCGCTTAGGATTTCCAAACACTGCTGCCTGCCGTCTTAGTCGATCTACAACTCCTATTGCGTTGGTATTTTTTGTGGGATAGAGCCAAACAAATTTTGAAAACGCATCGACTACCACCAGAATATAGTTATAGTTTTTACTAGTCTGTTCTATTGGATCGACATGATCCACATAGGTCGTGCATAGTGGCTTGTTCTGTTTGTCGATTGGTGCCAAAAACCCTTCTTTCTTGCCTGATTTGCTCTCAAATATTATGCATTCTATGCAACTTTTTACAATTTTTGGCACTTTTGACGATAGCTGCGGAATAAAGAATGTCTTTTCGATTGCTTCTTGAGTTCGTTTCGCTGAAAAATGCTCTTGCTTGTGTGCAATTCTAATGATTTCGTCTTCCATAAGCGATGGTACGACTATAAGTTCCTTGATGGGATCCTTGTATAAAATACCATGACTAACATGAAAATCTTATAAGCTACAATCCAAGACAGTTAGCACAGGCCGGACCCAATCATCTCTCGCTTGTGCTTGCTGCAATCTGTGCTGTAGTGAGTCTTCAAGCATAAGACAGGACACCCTGCTTAAAGCATCAACATTCTCATTTTGCAGCCATTTTGATGCTCAATACTGTAGTCAAAATCTTGAAGGAAAAGTGCCCAATGCGAGACTCTTAATGATTCCATTATGATGCGGTATAGGAATATTTTGAACTGCCTGGGGTTTTTCACATGTGGTCCTATTGTGCCTCCCTGTATAATAGAGTGGGGACTTCTAGTTCAATTTGCTGAATAAGTTCATTCTTTCATTTTTTGGCCGTGAACTAAATCGGTCATTTAGTTCACACGTTCAACTATTCAGTCGGTCAAGAACGATGAATTCTCCTCAGCTATTCAGTCGGTCATGAACTATTTGCTTAGTTCAGTTATGCAGTCAAATCAAATCTGAAATGAAAATCCCACTATCTTTTATGTTTATTAAGAACTGAACATTTTAAAAGAATGTTTCGTTCAGGCTGAACGGCTGAACTGCTGTATTGCTTACAACGTTCATGACCGACTGAACGAGTACAGAATACATCGTTCATGACCGACAGAATAGCTGAACGAGTAAACTAAATGATCGGTTTAGTTCACTAATCACTTAATAAGTTCAGTAGTTCATTTTAATGACGCGTTCAATCGAACTTGGTCTGAACTAAACGACACAACTCTACTGTATAACATACCCTAAAGAGTCAACTTCCTTCATAAGAAACTGGCACTTGCTTCACTTAATACGCAAGTTAAGCTCTGCTGCTCTGTCCAGTACGCGCTTTAACTTTTGGATACCTTCATATATATCCATGAAGGAAATTATAAGATCATCCATATAAGTTACGACTTTACCATCCTGTACAAGATCTACAAGAATTGCATGAATGAATCTCGAAAATACAGCTGGGGAGTTCGATATTTCAAAAGGGACGAGCAGAAGTTCATATTGCCCTGCACTTGTAACAAATGATGGAAATTTTCTCGAATTGGGCTCAATTGGAACATGAAAAATACGTTTGCAAGATTGAGTGGAGTAAACACACTTTGACCCTGCAATCTCTCAATCACATCGTCCATTCAGGGCATTGCAAAATTGTCCCTCGCGATCTTTTCGTGTTAACGCCTGTAGTCACAGCACAATCTTTTGGTACCATTTTTTTCGGAAGGAGGAGAACAGGAGATGCATACTCCGATGCACTTGGCTGTATGATATTTTCTTCTAGCCATATTTTGATTTGCGAATCGACAATAGACTTGTCCGAGTGTAATATGAGCCTTGGGCGTTCGAACACTGGACGCCCATAATTTAACAAAATATTCACTTCAATTGGACATTTCTTCTTCATTTTAGGTAGTTTAGTTTTTAATTATTGCTTGAGCTGCGTCTGTAACAGGTTTTTCTGGGTGATAAAGATCGATCTCAGTCTTTCTGCAAAAAAGCATACATATTTGAATTCTTGTAAGAGCTCTTTGTCTGGCTTATTATTTTCGACAGTATCTTCAGTTATTATTGACGTCTTGTTCGCATTGTTCTTCACTTTGGGTCGAAATTCTACAAAATTTTCCAATACTATTAAGTCCGATTGCTTCAATACGCTGTTTCCTATTACAGCTGACTATTGAATGTCGTCTCTGCTCATAACATGAAAAGTTATATCCAGTAAGGTACCATTAACTTCAACTTGAGTGACAGAGCTTCCTAGTGAACTTAGCTGACTATTACAGATGCCAACAAGACACTGTTTTTCATTATTCAGTTCAACATCTCCTAGTTCTTTGACGATATAATCGCGTATCAGACTAAGGTCACAGCCTGTATCGATTAATGCAGTGAAGCATATGTTCTTACAAGACAACTTCTTAAAAATGCATTATCAACTACTGTTAACCTTGTTAATCATCGTGTTTGCATTTTTGCCTTCTCTCTTCTCCACTACACGCGATCCTGAACAGTTAGCTACCTTATGCCCTGGTTGAGCACACTTATAACAATTTATTGACTGTCTACATTCTCTGGCTAGATGTGATGGATCGCCCCATTTGAAACAATTCCTAATTTGTTCGTTATTTAAGGCAGGTTTCTTTTCTTCTGTACCGTTATGCATCCTACCCGTATTAAGCGCTTGAGAGGACTACTACGAATTTTCTCTTATACCTTGATCTGTTCTTTTAGTTGCTGCAATTCATGAATCCAGTTAAATAAATGAAAATTTTTCATTGACTTAACACTCTTTACTCAACAGCTTGTTAGTTATTTTCATATAATGACAACATAACAAACTCTCAAACTCTCTTCATACACCCTGTGATCATCGTTGTTGTATTGACACACTTTCCAGTCATACGCTCTTTTTATTGAAAGACGCGCTCTTCACCACTTAGATCTGCAACTTCTTATTTCATCACGAAATTTAAATTTTGACTTGAAGACTTGAAATTGTAGATGTAGATGCTCATAGTTCTCCATGGTGAACTTCTTGAGCAAAATCGTGAACACAGGTACCTAGGAGTCGCTCTCGACAGACGACTTACGTCTCTGTTGTATCAGGCAACATCTAATCCAAAATAAGGCGAATGAGCTGGCTCCATAACTCCAACAGCAAACTCTCGCTCCGAAACAAGGCCGTCATCTACAGGCAATAAATGCCCCTGTGTGGCACTATGGGCTCCAAGTCTATGGTATAGCTGCAAAATCCCATGTGAAGAAAATTCGCATCATTCTGGCCAAAACCTTGCGCAAAATAACTGGAGCCGAATGGAATATCCGCACACGCGACATTGCAAAGGACCTCAGGGTACCAATGATGGGTGACGTAGCCAACCGGCAAGCAGCGAGCTACTCAACAAAGCTCCACAACGGTTAAAACGTCCTGGCAAGAAACCTGCCAAGGAGGCGAAGAAGAAGGCGTCTGAAGAGGACCTACCCAACTGACCTAGTCAATCTTTATAAATAAATACGTTTCTGTGTATATGTTGGAAGAAGAGGGTTCAGGGTATCCCCTAGTCGGGAGCTCCCGACTAGAACCTCTTACTTGTTTTATTTTATTCAAAAGAGCTATAAATATTTGGTAGCCTATCCTTGGAAGTTTTTCTTACCTGCAAGTCATTGTCGTAACTGAACTAATATTGACCAACATACTCCAATAAATGCCAGAACTAAACAGTGCTGTTATATTTTTGGTAGGCAGTTATATGAAATATATTCAGTATCACCTTTACCAAAGACTTGTGCCCAAATTGTACGCCTTGTTTTTTTTTTGGATAGTCCAATTTCTAGTAGTTTTGGTTGAAAACGTGAACCGAAATTCAAACATTCAATGATGACCGATTAGTGAAACAGGTAGCATTCAATAATATTGGAGTTCTTTCTTAAGATAAGGATAGCGGCTAAATTGTCGTGACCGAGCCGCTAACAGTAAACGCGCAGAGAAAGTGTTTACTTTCCTGAACATATAATTATGTTGCGATTATTTTGCGAACTGAGTGGCAGCTACAAATAGATGAAATAGTCTCACTTGAGTAAAGCAGGTCATCCACATGCGAGCATCCAGGGAACATTTTTTTAAATGCTCTTTAGCCTGAAGAAGTTTAGATTTTGTAAAAAATTTAAAACACGTCTCAAATGATTTTTTATGGAGATCCTTGGAAATGAATTTGTGAGCGAACAAATCAGCCACCAAATCTTTGACCCCCATTTCCACCAATGATTGATGGATTTTCCAAAATGTGCGAAAGACCCCTCAGATGAATTTGAACAAATTTCTTTGAAAATGAGTTTGAGGCTGATCGGATGGTAAACAAAAAAGTTTCATACAAACGTTTTTCGCGATTTTTCTACACGGATGGAATTTCCCGAAACCCTGTTTTATATGTGGAGAGAGAGGAAATATATAGAAATGTTTTTCGAATTTTATCCTTATTTTAAATTAAAATTATAAATTTATAAAAAAAATTACTTGAATTTAAAGAATTTTAGAAGCCATTTTAAATATGAGTACACCCTTGAAAAAAGCTAAGTAAATAGCAGAGATTAGTGTTTATGCCTAGGACCAAATCAACTTTTAGACCGTGTTTATTTTCTGGTATCAAAATGTTGGATTACACATATACTACATATATACTTATGTTCAGGATGAAATATAAAGAGTATATAACTTACCGTACAGCTGGGACTTCCAGAATGTCCCATTCCACAGACATGTAAAACTCCGATAAATCTACACCAACGTCTACAATATTGCTACCTTGTTGCTCGTCCATGTGCCTTAAGTCAACCTACAGAACAAAAGACTTTATTTATTTGAAGTTACAAAAAAATAAATAAATAATAAATACATTTATACATATTATATATGCAGGTCAGCCCTTTGATAATGGAGAGTACCAACTATGTATGAACGCATATTATACTTATTAAAATCAGTACTGCTTTTGCATGCTTTTTGGTAGATTTAAATTATCAATGACTTGTGTACGTACTACTCTTTTCAGCATAATTATTTTGACATATTGCGCTGTGCACTTTTCACTAATGTATCAGCTTCATATAATGGAACTGAATTTTCTTTTCGTACCTACACTTGAAATAAATCTGAAAATTGTTTTGTTGGATTCATCATGCATTCTTTTTTTGAGTTAAGCAAATTAAACAGTTGTGGCATACAAATTTTGAATTTACGGTAGTGTATCATTTTATCGGTTTTAGCCAAGGTTCGATGCGTTACTACTTCGATATCATTATATATTATATTAAAGGTAAAACTTCTCAATTAGGCAAAACAAATTTACGAATACTGAGACAGAAATTAAATAGAGTATTTGTAAATATACCCAAGGAATATTATTTCCTTCGTTAAACTATTAAATTAAAAAACATAAAAAGAACTCAATTTGCTTCGATCGGGTAGAAAACTTTAGATTACACACCTGTCCTGCTGATCGTGAAAAAATTTTAAAAAGAGCCAAAGCAAAAAAAATGTAGATTTGGATTATTGGCTATACTGACTTTTTTTGTGGCAATCGAATTAGAAATTCGTAAATGTTTAATCAATGATATAATTTTTTTTATTATTAAAAAAAGCGTTCTTGAGTAATTTTGTTCAACAATAATTAAAATATGGGTTTTGTTTAATTAATGATAAGGAAATCCGTAAATAAAGATAGAGATAAAATAGAGTGGAAAGTGTTCTGTTCTGGGATCCTATCCCATCGACGTTCGCATTAACCAATATCAATAGTTAAGGATTTATATGATCTCACATTTTCCTCTGCCGATATATTTATTGGAGAAATATTTGTTTTCCAAATAAATAATAATACTTGTCATAAGGGCAAGTTATTAACAACCATTCTATCAGAGGCTAAGGTGAATAGAAGTCCGAAAGCTCAGAATTCAATGTAATAGCAAATAATTATTTGCTATTAATGTAATAGCAAATAATATTGAGCCTTATTAAAATGCAAAACAAAGTAAATTCAAAATAGTAATGTCAGGAAAATTCTCGAGTTTTAAATTTTAATTAAAAAGAATAAACCAAATACATTGGGAATGTTGACTGCTCGTTTTATAATATAGTATATAATTTTTTATAACTCCTCAATATACTACATTTTTTCAATTAATTTGCTGCATAGATCGAAAAAAAATTAGAAAAAAGTGACAGGAATGTCAAAATATTTATGACGTGGGGTTTACGTAGTATGTATGAATATGAGTTATAGGGCCATTTAAAAGAAACATACCAATATGAAATATTTTTCTATATAATTTAAAAATATGGGTCAAAATATTTTTTATCTATTTAAATAAACTACTAATCGAATAGCGTTTGACTAATAATGCAAAGTTACTTGATAATTTGTTAACTACATTTTAGTTTGAAATTATTACATTAAAGTTTAATTTGGATTATCTTCATATTAACTTTACTATTCCATTATACAACGACAATGCATTAGTCGATGCAACTTAAGTCAATATAACTCGTTTCAAAAACAAAAACAAATGCATTCCGTTACAGTAATTAACCAAATTTGTATAAAAAATAATGTCTTTGTTGAGGATATATAAACTATTCATGTTTAATTCATTAAATGAACTTAAAATAAATATCTTCAATCACGGCATGCAGTCTTGGTGTACATGCACATGTCATTTCGAATTTTTTTATGTTTACATCTGCTCATTTTCGTACCGTTTTTTATTCTCATTTTTAAATTTTTTCTTATAAAAATACTTAAGTTAAAGCAAAATAAACTTAAAAAAAAAAACGACAATGTATATAAGCGATTATGATTCACATGAGGCTAAAAACAGTTCTTAAGAAACACCAATAATTTTCGCGTTGCATGCATTAGATCACAAAGCCTAGGCGCACCTAAAAAACAATAAGATATATCTTTAAGATTATAGCGGAATTATCCCCAACATTAGTAAGTAATAAAATACCCTTATAACACTAAAAATAGAATGCATAGATACTTCAAACAGCCGAATAATTGAAGCACGATAAATTCAAACGATTGAGCCCCATGGATACCTGCGACCATTTTGTTATGCCCAGAGAGCGTAAGACTGAGAGTGGAAGCCGGCCGGCCTCTAAAGGCGAACCTTCAGTTTGAAGCCGCACTCGCTCAGCACACAACGTCGCTGCGTCTGATGCCTTTTCACAATATATGTATGTTACTTTTTAATTAACATACATATGTGTGTATGCAGGTTCAGGTGTGCCTCGCTCTCATTCATTGCTTTGAGCACTTGTGTGCATCTCTTTCTCCCTGCATAGCTTCCCACAAAACCCCGATATCTACACACATACATATGTTGTGTGGTTGTGCGCACAAGAAGATCACGGCGTTTGTCGCGAGCCAAGGTTTTTTCATCAATTGTATGCCTTTTGTGCCTGTGGTAGCAAAAGGCATACACATGCTGTATCATGTACTTCTTTGTCCAGTCAGGCATAATGAAAAGAATCTGATCTATTTTTATACCCTGAACCCATTAAAAATGGGTACAAGGGTATATTGTATTTGTGCAAAATCCAAATGTATGTAACAGGCAGAAGGAAGCATCTCCGACCCCATAAAGTATATATATTCTTGATCAGCATCAATAGCCGAGTCGATCTAGCCATGTCCGTCTGTCTGTCCGTCCGTCCGTCCGTCCGTCCGTCCGTCCGTATGTATGAACGCAAGGATCTCAGAACCTATAAGAGCTAGAGTCTTGAAATTTTAGATGTAGATGCTCCTAGTTCCCGCGCAGATCGAGTTTGTTTCCGATAATCGATAACTTACTCCGTTTCCAAGCAATCGATAAAAATCGATATCGACATCCTGTTCTTTTTTATCAAATTGGGTAAATAATAAGAGCTAGAGCCACCAAACATGATCTGTTGCTTCTAGAATATTATAGATATTTCAAGTATCTTTCATTTAGTACCTATCGCCACCTCCCCGCTACCACCACAGAACTATAAATCAAGTTAATAACTCAACTTTTATTGCCAACCAATTTAAACCACAATTTAAATGCAATTGTCTTTTTCAGAGTTCACAAATATTCTATGAAACAATAAGATATACTGTAGAAAATTTCATAAAGATCGGTTAAGAAAAACCAAAGCTTTATGCAACTGCGCAATTGAATGGGGCAGCAGCTTTAAGAATTTCTGTATACATGTACACACACACATACATGCGCGTCTGCTTCGCATTGTAATAGCATGGTGATTGCATCTTTTTTTTGTAATGTTATTTTGGTTCCTTTTTTTTATCACAAGTACTTAATTGTTGGTGTGGCTGCTGAGTAGAGGTATAGCAAGTGGTGCGTTCTGTCGCGAGTTCGAGCCCTACCGGGGAAAGTATTATTATTTTTTGTTTTTTGCTGGTGTGGCTGTTGAGTAGAGTCGACAGTAAGTAATGCAATGCGGTCAGTTGCAAATTCGAGCACTGCCAAGGGAACTTTTTTTTATTAATTTATTTGGTGTTGGAATAAGAGGGTTCAGGGTATCCCCTAGTCGGGAGCTCCCGACTAGAACCTCTTACTTGTTATTTAATAAAAACTTAAATGACCCTTATGAAATATTTATAATAAAGTATAAACTTTAATTTTTTTGTTTACTGTGGGGACATATTTTGCTTAAAATATAAAATCTAAGAAAAGACAAAAAATTAAAAATGTTTAATTTTTGCGACAGCTATATGAAATTATTTAAGGGTTTGGCCTGTTCACGTGCAAAATTGCTTTATTTTCATGCTTATTGATGGTAAGGCTACCTGAACGTTGGCATGGGTGCATGAATACTTTTTGGGCGGGCCAAGCCCACACACTTAAACACTTTCCTATATGGATGGAATTATAAAAGCATTTGTGTGCCTGTTGGTTGCCTGCCTGTTCGATGCAAATTTGACAAGATTGAAGTTTTCGGGATTTCAATGAGCGAGGCACATGCATACACACATATGTTTTTTAGACTGTAAGGATTTAAAAATGACATACATACATATATTAAGAAAACGCATCATCAGCCGCGACGTTGTGCGCTGAGCGAGATGCGGCTTCATACTGAACGTTCGGCTTTTGAGGCCGGCGTTCGGCTGCCACTATCAACCGTCTTACTCTGTCTGGGCACACTAAAATGGTCGCAGGTACCATTGGGGTCGCCTCGTATCGATTTTTCTTGTTTCGATAAGAAGTGCCATTTGGTATGTCTATACATTGTATGGTTAGTGCTATCACGCATACTTGCATATTTTTTAAATGAATAAAACAATTTATGCGCTTGTATGCCTGTTGGTTGCCTGTCCCTTGCAAATTTGAAAAGATTGGAAATTTTTGTGATTTCTGTATTTCGGGCGCTTAATGTGGCTGAATGGACAGATCATAGTCGCAAAAGAAAAAATCGAATAAATTGAATAAAAAGGCTTAATATGATCTGTTATGAATACTATAAATATAAAATCGATCCTTATTTTGTATTTGGTATATTTAAAGATAATAATTTTGGAACTAATTTCCGCTGGTCATAAAATCGTTCAAGTGATCAGTCACTTGACCTACATATGCAATTGCAGGTGCTTGTCAAAAGTTGACCCTTTGGCCTAACCGGCTGCTGCAGGTAATAAGGGGTCACCATTCATTCATCAATTCAAAATCGAAATCATAAAAAAGAAGGGCACTCGTCAGACGCCTTAAAATTTTGAATTTAGGTCCGCCTTGTGGCCGACAATCAATAACTTAGTGTTGGTAGAAGAGGTTTCAGGATATTTTCTAGTAG